GAGGGGGTAGGGGATTAAGAAATTTATTCAAAGTTATTCAAACTTTGCATAACTTTTGAAAATGCGCCGAACTCCCGAGAGATGAGGCCATTTAACACGGAAAAAATTCCTCTAATCTAATCTAACAGAAAGTGTGACCTCACAACTATCGACCAATGAGAGCGCACTGACTATCTTGAATACTTTATAATTATTAAAAACTAGATCATTGGATAATGCAATTCAAGACTTTTTATTGGCTTAGCCATTATGGTATATCAGCCAACATACCATAATCTACAAATATGGCAAGCATACGTGTCAGCTTAAAATTAAAAGGGAGCTAAAAATTTAATAATAACTTAATGTAACGTTATTAATAAAACAATTATTCCACTCACTCTTGTTGGATATGTGATAATTATAGCCAACTCGGCGCGTAGCGCCTCGTTGGCTATCTATCATCTCATATCCAACGCGCGCTCGTGGAATAATTGTTAAATATACCTCAATACTTAATTGTTGCTCTATTAAATCAATATATTCTGTCAGATAAGTCGTTTGTTCGGCCAGTTCAAGATGACCTTCAAAATAGTGCCTGAAAACAAAGATGAACATACGATGAGTCACAGAAGGTTTAGGTAACAATTTTCAAGATAACAAAGACAGTAGCAGGAAACTAAACTACCAAGACACTGATACAGGTGTTAAGACAGAGGTTTCTGTCTGGATGTTTTCATTGACAGCGGAGGGTGATGCTACTTGGGGCTTAACAAGTAACTCGGTGCAGAAAGATACTATCTACAGTACGTTCTAAGAGGGTCCGTGTTCTTTCCTTTCTCGCTTATTTTTTGTTTGTTTGTTTTCGGTGACGCGACAAACAAACAAAAATGAGCTACACAAATTGAGTTCTTGAAAAATGAACTAGAAATTCTTAAATAACATTATTTACCTGAGAATTTGTTTAAGCTTTGTTAACCTAACACCAGCGTCTTTTGTTTTAATGGCTTGTTTAAATTGAAGCATCTGGTGGAAAAGCAGACCAAAAAACAGTCATTATCAATAAAAAATTATATAGGATGCCTTTTCAACTCAAGTGGTCCAAGAAGCCGGAACATTTCCCAGTTTTCAAAGAGATAAACTGTGAGAGTAAAGTATCTTTCCCAAGAACACGAAAAAATGACCCAATCAGGTTTCAAACCCAAACCACTTTATCCAGGCCTTAAGTTGTTCAAAGGGCGCGCGGATAAACGGCTATCCCACGGATTAATTCCACTGCGTCTGCCAACTATGCATATTCTCCACACTATTCTCTACAAATTTCCTTTGTTACTGACAAGGAGAATTTGTTCATCAGTCAGAGCTTCTTTGGTTGGCGATCATTGCCATTATTCTCATGATCTTACTGAGTGACTCAGCTGTGTAACTGTTGGGAGAAATTAGATGCTGGTCACTAATAGGGTCTAAAGGGTTAAAATATACATTTAGGGAGATGTATATGAGCTTTTCTAGTAATCTTCTCTCCACTTACTGCTGCATCTTCGTATCTACCAACAGAACTGCAAAACAACAACAACAAAAACAACATGATCAAACAAAGTGTTGACCTCAGGTCGGCATCACAGAGAGAGTAAGAAGAGAAAGGTATGAGATGCATAAAGTGATAGTTGTTTTATCAAATTTAAAACCTCTTCCGCTGGAAAAAAAATCTCTTCTTTAGTTAGCCTGGTAGGAATGTTAAGTCATTAATGTTAAGTTAAACTACAGAGTGAATGACTCTAACCCAGAAATGAACACAAATCATTAAATTTTCATACTGAGACCTTAGAACAACATTTTGTTCAACTAATGCCTGCAGACTATACATTTCAGTTTGTCTTTAAGCAATTACATATCAGATTTTGTCACCCAAATCCACTGCACAATGGAAAAACTGATTACACAGCCAAGGTATGGAAAATACTATAAAGAATATTTTCAATTCAAAAATAATAAGGAGGTCAGGGTTATGGGATGTGGTAATTGTGAAGAAAAACTCCCTAAAAAAACCTGTCAGCCAACAATATTGGGTATACATGTATCACCAATACTGGTAACAGGCTGTCGATAGCCTTTCGGTGGCTGGCCTATGGGTTATCATTGGCGGCCTGTTCTTTATCTATCGGCCAACCGACAGTCAGCTGACAGGGTTTCTCAGGGAGCTCTTCTTCACAGTTACCACTGATTCTTAGACTAGTGTGTGTCCAAAACTTAAGAGTACAATTCAAGAGAAGGATGGGTTTCAAATTTCAGGGGATAGTCACACCAGAAAGGAGGAGAAGAACTTCAGATATCCAGGGCTTCCAATAACTTTTTCACACGCAGATGCTGATGGTGTGATATAGATATAAGCCTGCTCGCAGCCTAAATAAACACGGTAACAAATTTTATTGGGCAGCAGTAGACTGCTGATAACCAGATTTTAACATTTAAACTCCCAAGATCTGTTTATGAATTCTACCCCCTATAGCTGCTACACATTTTCTTATAAATTAGTCTCGAGAATTTGGTGTTAGACCAAGGTAAGAATTTCTACCTGATAAGTTTGAATGTTCTCACTACCTGTTTGCTGGATAATGTATGGATATAAAAGTGGACAAGATCCATGATAATCATTTCTGGGAGTTAAAGGGTTTTTAATGAAATCCCTGCATACTTAACTGGTACAACTCCGTGAGTTCAGTGTAATCATAATGTTCACTCAGGTATTTGCTCAAGTGGTGTACAGCTTTGGGACGCGTCGTCAACTCATTATGAAGGATTCCTTGAAAAAAAATGCACAAACAAGCATTCTATAACTTCTTTGTAGGATAACAAACTGTCCGAAAAAGCATTAATGACTGTTATTGGCTGGATTTACTTCAGTGCAAGAATCGGTCGCCTGGCTGACAAAATGCATTACAAAAGTAGTGTCTCGATAAATGCAGTCTTAGCAAGAGAGAATTACAGGATAAAATTAATTTCCAGTTTAATGCACTAGTTTGTTTAAAAGATATCTTTTTTTAAGTGACGCAGATATGCACTGTATAATGGGCTGTAACTGTTCCCATGTAGAGAAAAAGTTAAAAGTAACTACTTTTTCTCACCATTTCTCCTGTTAGCAAATGAAAACCTTAACCCCACCCCCAACCCCTCATCAAAGATTTTATGTAATCTACCACTTTACAATACAACAGAACATGATATAAAAACTGTAATATTTTCCCTTTTCGACTGCTCTACTGCTGCAGCCACCCTCTTATTGGCTAGAATTTTCACAAATTAACAGAATTGGAGACAAAAAAAAATTCAGCTAATAAGCATATACAAAACACACATCAAGCAACAAACAGTGATTAGAATAGAATTTACAAACAATTCTACAAAACTTACGTTGTTTTACCGACTTCCTTAAGAACAAGACCGCCTGAAAAATAAATAAAGTTAATAGTGACCCTTACCGTAGGAATCCCAGGTTCCTTACCCTTGAATAAAAGGAAATTCATAATTTGGGAGGGAGAAGAATGCACAAGGAAGGGGGAAGGGGGTGTTGGGAGTTTTTGTATGTGTGACAAACTTGTTATGAGATCTCAGTTTTGCAAAATATTTTTCACGCTATTTGCAGAGTGATATCATTATTATAATATAAGTCATTACCTGCAACATATTTGAAAGAGGTAACAAATTTCTATATGCCTTAACAGGAACTTCAAAGAAAATCACCAGGCAAAGGAGGATTTCATTCAATTTAGAAGCAAATAGTAAAGATTTTAGGCAGAAAGTAATAATGTTACTTACAGCCATTATGGCATTTCCATCGTGCATTTTTATGGCATGGTCCAAGAGGTCCAATTTGTCTTTTAGTGACTTATAAACCCCAAGGTTATAGGACTAGAAGAGAAAAAAAAGGGACTTGTCTAACTATATACCTTGTGTGATAAAAAAAAATTAAAAAAAAGAAAAAGATAGGAAAATTTTTCCTGAAGACTGTAAGGCACTATACAAGGTACCAGAGGAGACAAGTTCAGTTTGCATGAACAAGAAGTTCCTTTAAATTTTATGATAAAATTTTTCACAAGTACAGCCCCTTGTCAACAAAATTGATTTTTGATCAATGAAAGTGAACAACTCTGAAGTTCAAAGGAATGCAGGCTTCAAAATCATGGTCACACTTTTAGTTTCAGTGAACTTAATTCTTCTCTGCAAGTAAGAGACTAGACGCTACCAGTAAAAGAGAGTTTGGAACAGACACATTTATCCAAAAAAAGTCTGGTTGTGGAATAAATCCAATGCAAAAAAAAACCAGACATTTGAAATATTACCTCCCCACAAATAATTCTTCTAACAGTCTCTTGAACTGAAGGCAGTGCTGTTTTTTCTCTTTGCGCTGCCTGCAGTTTAAAGTTGGAAAAACTGTCAATGTCAGAAGACAATTAGCAATCCTGGTTCTTCTACGAATGTCACTCCCAAGAATGGCCTGTAACTAATTTCACCTCACAGTGTGATGACATCCTTCCAAGCAATGCAGGCAATAAGAATAAAAAATAGTTTCAACAAGGGAATCACAGACTTCACAACAAAATCCCAGAAGCACACATTATGGAAAATGTAGGGCAGAGAGTAAGATGAATTAGGATTTAGATCTATGGAGTGAAGGGGTAATGAGAGAAAGTATAGCATAATGGTCAAAGAGCTTTGAAATCCTAGTTTCCAATGCTGTAGCCTGGTTTTAACTCCCAGGGCCAGCAAAAATTTTGAGGGGCCGAATAACCACGACCAATCGATCTGAAGGCCAAAACAAAGGCGCGGCTTATATCGTAGAACCACGAATTCTTTGGCAACGTGTGAAAGCATGTCAGATTCATATGGGCTTTGCAGTCCCATCGCTTGCATCGAAGGATACAAACATTCCCATGGCCATTTCTCAAATTTTCGTCTTTTAGAAGTTCGAGTTTGAAAGCTTCAAAAGAAAATTCAGCATAATTTTTTTTTGGCTACAATTCTTCTAATTGAATGTTCCAAAATTAATCGAGAAAATCATCCCAAAGGAGTAAAGAAACCTGGATTAAAGAAGAAGAGGATATTTGCACTATCATGGTAATTCCAAAAGAAATGTCAACAAAGGAGGCCACCTGTCCCTGGCCAAGTCTAACTCTCACCTGCAGATTTTTCTTCAGCTGAATAACTTCAGCTTCAAGTCTTTTATATTCCATGACTGAGACCTGAGGGGAATTGCTTATGACTGAAAAAAGAAATAACCAAATACGATGACTGAAACATCTGCATTTACTTGTATATTAATCAAGAAATGTGTTGTTCAGTTTTAATGGATGCATGCATGTTGACTTTGTCTTGATGCATAAAATGCAAAAAAAGAATTTAAACAATATCCAGCCACCTTGACCTCGCATTTGGCCAATAACAAATACCTACTGATTAAGTAAGTGCACATTTAAAGAAAATTCAGCCATTTACCATCTTTTATTGATGATGACACACTGTGTAAGGCAGCTTGGGTGGTTGTTACTTTAGAGGTCTGGTTTCTCACAGTTGCTGCTGGCAGCGACATTGATGAGGATGATGAAGACACTGTAGTTACAGAGGATGATGAGGTGGTTATAACTCGCTGTGTAGATGGAGCTGGCGGCCTTTTTGGTGGAGTTTGAGATTTTGTACCTTCCAGTAAAATAGGTAAGAGTCACTCGATATCAAATGCTTACAGCTAGATATGAAGAAAATTTACTTTTTCTCTTGTCAAACAAACATTATTTGATAAGCTGCATTATCTACACATTTTTAATGTTTCTTGCTTAGTTGCAGCTTCAAGTTCATCCCTCGAATCTGAAAACCTATGGAGACCAAGCATTTTCTACATGTTCCCCCCAAGTTATGGAACTGTCTTCCTAGCTATATTAGGTGTAGTCTCAGTGTCAATACTTCTAAGTCATCTCTAAAAACTTATCTCTTTGAATATGTTTCATATGTTTGTTGTTGTTATTATTTTATCTCCCAGGTATTGTAGGATTTACTATTCTATTGTCTATTTGTTATGTGAAGTGCTTTAGAACTTTTGTACAAAGCACTATATAAATGATATTATTATTATTTTATTATTATTATTATTATTGATCTAATGGAGGACAGATCCATAGATGACATTACCATCAACAAGGTTTTGCCCTTTTTATCTTATTAATAGAAAACAGATTTTATTTTGCCATAAGTTGCATGGTAATAGATCACAAAAGTCAAAATGTCGTCAGAACGTCAAGAGACAAACTCATGCAGCAGCACCTAAAGATCCACTTTTTTGTTCTTACTGCATCTGTGATTGATAAGTCTAGCTACTTTACATTTACCACAAGTTGAAATTCCCTTCTATAACCAGAAGGTAAATAACCAATCATGAAAGGCAAAGATATAACATCTTTGTTATCTTTGTTTACATTTCTTATTTCCACCTTGAAGCAAGCTTAATTTGGAGAACTAAAATTACAAGTGTTTTAGAGTAACAAAAAGGAAATGCACCTGTAAGTTTACTTACTTTAAGTTATCACAAGCTTTACATCATTGGTTTTTAAATCCTGAATGTTCACTTTTCTGTATAATCAATTTTAATCTTGATCATATATTTTTAAAATTGTGATACAAAACACAAATTTACCAGTTTATGATAAAACAGATAACACACCTTCAAAAGACAAACTTTGTTTACTGGAATTCTGATTACTAGAAGTGGCTGAGGACAGTGGGTGAACTCGCACAGATTGAGCAGCTGACTTTGAGCGGGGCTTTGATCCTTTTCAAATAATATCAACAAATTTAATAGAATACTGGTGGATAACTGTGATAAGAATCAGAGAACATCATAGGATAGGTACACCTTATTGAATGATTTAACATATGATACACATGGATATTGCCAGTTACATAATGTTTAACCAAGCATCAGAGGAGTGAGAAAAAATACAAATAATGAGCAAACTGGCTGCTTGTATTTAACAAATGGTAAACACCACAGCGTACACTCAAGAAGCTAGAGTCGCTCTCGGCTATTGCCTCGAGCGACTCTTACGCTTCTTTCGTGCTTAGCAACCTCCCGCGTGCATCCATAACTCAATAGTGTACGCTGTGGTGTTTACCATTTGTTTTATAACATAACATTGATACATTGTAGCTAAAGAGTTCCCTTTTATTTAACAAATCTTACGTGACCAGAAAAAACAAGCGTGCGTGGAAAAATAGTCTTTGCATTTGCTCACGTCAGCAGCGTACACCCATGGGCAAATGGGGGACGCTAAATTGACCAATCAGAGCGCGCGATTTACTTTGGTTATGTTATAATGTATCTTAGACCATTGAATAAGGGATCTATTATTCCACATTTATTTCATTTCTGATATTTTGATGACTAGTTTATGAAATACATCCTACAGTTTATCTGAACTTATTATTGATAAAATATGGCTTACATGAAAGTCAAAAACAACCCAAGCAAAACATTATGTGTTAGAGACTGAAGAGATTACATTTTCAGGGGTTTCATTAAGGGCCGGGCACCGGCCAAATTGACCGGTTGTAAGGACGGTTTTGCCCACCTGGTTTAACAATCTGGAGGAAGGTTTATCTGACTTATAAAGAAGTTTAGTTCAAAAAGCTTTGCCTGCCTGTGAAAACCAGTTGCCCTCCTGCTGAAAAAATTAAAGAAACCCCTGCATTTTGCATTGAAAAGTGACTACATTTTGTGTTGAGTGATTTATTATATTATTGTGTCAATATTATTACATTTTGCATTAGTATTACATTATCCAGCAATTGTTATTACATTTTGTGTCAGTAAAACATTTTGTAGCAATTCTTGTTACATTTTGCATCAGTATCACATTTTGCGGTGATCCTTGTTATATTTTGCATAGGTACAACAATTTGAGGAGCATGGAGAACAATTATGTAAACTATGCTGATGTTATGGCATAAAGGGCCAAAAAAAGGGCCAAAAAAAGGGCCAAAAAAAGGGCCAAAAAAAGGGCCAAAAAAAGGGCCAAAAAAAGTAGTCAAGGTCTACCAAACCGAAAAACTATTAACATTTCTTACATGATCATTATTTTTGTGTGACATCATACCTGGATTCAAACTGTACTCTACACCACCCCATGCTTCTCCAAGTGGCTCATCATCATCATCATCGTCATCATTGTTACTCGTTAAACGACGATGCTGCTTCCTCAAGTCAGCCACTTCCTCTGAACTGATCCAGCTGAACGATGAGTCATCATCATCAAAAAAATTTCGTTTTGGCTTTTTGTCCTCCTCATCTTCCCAAAACAGTTCGAAAGAATCTTCGCTGAAAAATAAAGACAATCCTTGATCATCACTCCAGTAATAATCAGTAGCCTGCAATGCAGGCATCTTTTTATTTGACCAGCCTTGTTTGACTTACAGTTACCATGGACAATGGGGGAGGGGGGGGGGAAGCAGGGAGAGACAGAGACAGAGACAATTTCTATTGTCTCACCACCCTCCCTCCTCTTATCATTCTTATGACTGTTGCCCACCACCTTGGTACAAATTTCCTTCTCTCCCCAGCCTTTTGCTGCTGTCAAAATCTAAGATGGCTGCTATAATTTCCACATAGTAGATACTGAGCATTGGCTTTTCAAAATTACAACTGACCTGCAAGCTAAAATATATAGATTTAGCCAAGCCTAAAAGCAGAGCTCCCAAGTTCGTAATATTAATGATAACATAAAAGATGTGCATTTGCCAAGACTCACCTGAGACACCCCTCCCTTCATTTTGATAGTCTCCCCTACCCTACCTGTGCAATCTGAAGGCACGTATGTACATACATACGTACGCTCGGTCACTCACATGACAACCAAGCGAAAAGAGGTTGACCATTTTCCATGGGTATGGGGCTCTGCCCCACATACGCTTCGCGTGCGTGGGAGCCCCGCTATAATATAAAAAACTACAAAATTTAAGTGGCCTTGAATCCAAAGATGTTCTGTGAGTGAATGCATTTTCCACAAGAGAAAAAATAACTTTTGACTTTTAAGATAACTGAGATATATATCCTAGTAACTAGGGCCAGCTCTGGCCATCCTAGGGACCAAATTCCTTGCTACTTACTACCAAAAATGGTTGATTTATGCATAAGCTAGAGAGCATGTAATTAATTTACTATCCCCACAATGTTGTCTTCAATTTGGACAATTACAAACCCATTCTAGCATTAGCACCACTCCATTAAATGCCAATGGTTGATAAAGACAGTGTCAGTGTAAACATATGGGGTTAAGACAAAATTACTGTAACCTTGGAAAATAAAATAATCATTTTTTCAAGTTAATCTTAGTGTCAAACCCAAAAAAGATAGTTTGAAAATCATACAATCCTCCATTTGGAGTAAAAATATGAAATTATTGCTGTCATATTTTTGTACACAGAGATCTGTATCTGTTTCGAAAGGTGAAGTTTTCCGAGAGAAAAACACGAGGAAAACTCACACCCAATAAGAGGAATAAACAGGTTTATTTTTAAGTCAAACAGAAGTTGTTGCAATTATGCTTTTGTAGCAAGCGGAACAAAGTGTTTACCATCACCCACATATATAAACATATTCATAAACAGATGTTGACTTTCAGAGTGAAGTTTTTGAGAACATAGTAAGTCTCTTTGTCTCTCAGACAGAAAAACGCTCTCCTGACTGGAGTCTACTTTTGCACGGAATGCAAGGTTTGGAGATTGGTATTATCGGGGAGATTTCCTTAGTTAGCCAATGAGACATATTCAGTCACTTGACCGATTTGAACCAATCGCACACAAGCGGGGTGTTACGAAAACGAAGACCCTCGAAAACGAAGGCCTAAGACCCCTGGTCTTCGTTTTCATACTATGAAAACTAAGACCCCCAGTCTTCGTTTTCGTAGTACGAAAACGAAGACCTTGTAAACAGAAAACTGTAGAAATTACAAGTTAAACAGACATTAAACAGCAACAACGCTTAGTAATATAATACATTACACTTCACGCGTTTCTTCCCATTATTATCCGTATGATCATACGGCCAGTCTTGTCTGTTCTGTTTCGCTATGCAAGCCAATTTGGTGTTGATATTCTCGAGGGTTTCCTCGGGTAAACTTACAACACATATTATTATTCTGGAACAGCAGGCAGAATTCCAACGCTAGCCGCCTTTGATTTATAGTTAGCACTGTGTGACAGAATAACAGAGAAGGCGTTCTGTATGAAAACGTGTTTCGTACTATGGCGTTCTGTACGAAAACATGTGGCTTAAGTTTTGCATACTTTCAAAAGATTGTCTGCTTTTAATAAAGGGTCTTCGTTTTCTGCGCGGCCGTGGGAAACATTTTTGCACTAGGCCAAAAAAGGGAGTACGCGCCCGAATAAAGCCTGCTTAGCCTTATTGAGGCCCTTCTGTAAACATCTCCAAAGGAACCTTGTCCTATTCTGTTTTACCAGCAATTTATTACATTTGAAGCGTGGAATCCCTTCTGCAATTTCGCTGCCAGGTGACCCTCTTCGTATTAGCTGAGGAAGCTTAAACTTTCGAAAAACCGACATAGTTGAATTTTTCACCGCTCCATCTCAACATGTGGCGTAAGTTTTGCATACTTTCAAAAGATTGTCTGCTTTTAATAAAGGGTCTTCGTTTTCATAGTACGAAAACAAAGATCGGGGGTCTTCGTTTTCGTATTACGAAAACAAAGTCCGGGGGTCTTCGTTTTCGTATTACGAAAACAAAGACCGGGGGTCCTCGTTTTCGTACTACGAAAATAAAGACCTTACATAAGCCAAATGAATTGCTTATTTTTTAACGAGAATTTTCCAGCAGAGAAAGCTTAACAACCGTCAGAATCTATTTTAGCTGCGAAATACAGTAGAAATCGATTATTTATTCACATAACCCAAGAGTCATTTTTCCTGTACAGAAGCTTTCTCTGTTCTTCTGTCACACAATGCTAACTATAAATCAAAGGCAGCTGGCGTTCGAATTCTGCCTGCTGTTCCAGAATAATAATATGTGTTGTAAGTTTGCCCGAGGAAACCCTCGAGAAATTATATCAATACAAAATTGGCTCGCATAGCGAAACAGAACAGACAAGACGGGCCGTATGATAATAAGGATAATAATGGGAAGAAACGCGTGAAGTGTAATGTATTATATTACTAAGCGTTGATGCTGTTTAATGTCTGTTTAACTTGTAATTTCTACGGTTTTCTGTTTACAAGGTCTTCGTTTTCGTACTACGAAAACGAAGACCGGGGGTCTTAGGTCTTCGTTTCCGAGGGTCTTCGTTTACGTAACACCCCACACAAGCGGTTAGACTTGGTGGATATTTACGAAATCTTCTAAGTTCTACTGCAGCCAGTTACCGGTAATAAGCGCTGCAACAGGAAGTTCAGATGCTAAAGTTAACCTCCTTTACACTGCCGTCTAACAGGTTAAGCACCAGGTATATCTAGAAGTGCACAGATGTCTCTCATCGATTAACCATAACAGAAACAGGTGAACTTACTTCGACTTCAGCTGCCGGAAACTCACCGCTCGAGACTAAAATAAAAGTAGATTAAGACCTTATAACTCTATGGAACAACACACCACTCGAAATTGAAAAGAATTACAGAGAAAATTGTTCCATACCTCCGACGAGCGCGCCATGATCAAACTTTCCGTGAAACACGAGGAACAGGGTTGTGTTATTCACACAAAGTGTACCCGAAAGACTCCCTTTTCTCCACGCATCCCTAGTGGCATGTTGTGTGACTCACCGAGTCCTCTGTGATCTCTTATATCAGATATCGAAATTAATTGTACCTGTAAAGAGCAGCGATCAAAAGGGATTTTTTTACACTCCAAATTCCATCTGAATAATCGACCGAGCTATTAGATTTATTTCATAATTGTGCAAGAAAATTTTTGGAAAATACACTTCGTTAGTTAGTTCATGCATTTTTGAACACAAACGCATTTAATTAAAGCGTACTAGTAAGATTTTTTCCCTTTAATATGGAAAGTGACACCAGAATTCCAGTTTTTCATATGCTGTTGTTGTGGCGGGAAACGGTCACGGAAAGATTTTCTTAAAAAAAAATCTCTCGGTTGTTTTGTCTTCCTTAGTTAAAAAAACAAAAAAAACAAAGCTCGGTTTAAGAATTTCCCAACACAAAGGAAGGGGATCGAGATGGAAAGATATGGAATCGAAGTCTTTTAATCAATTGATCAAGGATGTGATGTCCATTTGTCCATTATGTCAAAAAGACTTGAAAGATGTGTCCATACCCACATTTGCAGCCATGTCGAAGACCTTCTTCACCCAGAACAACATGCTTTCAGAAAACATAAATCTTGGGTCACCCAACTTGTTCAACATGTTCATTCACTGGCAAAAACACTTGACTCGGGTGGTCAAACTGATGTCATATACCTGGACATGGCAAAAGCTTTTGACCGGGTACCACATGAGAAACTTATGTATAAACTCGAAATGCTTGGCTTTCGAAATCCATTATTAGCCTGGATCAAAGACTATCTTACAAATAGACGTCATAGAGTCCTCATCGAAGGCATTGCGTCAGACTGGAAGCCAGTTACTTCCGGAGTTCCTCA